ATTAACAGAATATTTTATTTGGGGATTAAATTAAGTCTTTAGCTACAAATACATAATACTCATATAAGGAAAAATAAAATAGAATTTGAGCTCGGCTACTGTTCATATAATGACTGTTGCTAAATATTTTTCTTACAAGATACCGAAAAAGTCAAGAGCATAATTTTCAAGCCTGTACTTTTTTAATAAATATAACCACACAGCAAATTTTCAAGTAAGAATTTAGTAATCGGACTTGCAGTTGACTTTTTATATGGAGTCAGAGATTAGACTGCTCCATTTTAATATTAATAGCTTAAAGATTTTGCCAAGTGGCTAATATAGGTCCAAGTAATTAAAAAATGATATACATACAATGGAGAAAAGAAAGTCTCTTCAACAAATGGTGTTGGGAAAACTGGATAGCCACATGCAAAAAAATGAAAGTAGACCCTTACCTTACACCATACACAAAAAGTAACTCCAAATGGATTAAACACTTGAGTGTAAGACCTGAAACTATGAAACTTCTAGAAGAAAACAGGCAGTACGCTCTTCGACATCGGTCTTAGCAACATATTTTCAATCACCATGTCTGACCGGGCAAGAGAAACAATAGAAAAAATAAACAAATGGGACTACATCAAACTAAAAAGCTTCTGCACAGCAAAGGAAACCATCACCAAAACTAAAAGACAACCTAACAATTGGGAGAAGATATTTGCAAACGATACATCCAATAAGGGCTTAATCTCCAAAATATATAAAGAACTCATGCATCTCAACAACAAAAAAACTAACAACCCAACTAAAAAATGGGCAAAAGACCTGAACAGACATTTCTCCAAAGAAGATATACAGATGGCCAACAGACACATGAAAAGATGTTCAAAATCATTAACTATCAGGGAAGTGCAAATCAAAACTACAATGAGATATCACCTCACGCCTGTCAGAATGGCTATAATTAACAAGACAGGAAACAACATGTGTTGGAGAGGATGTGGAGAGAAGGGAACTCTCAGACACTGCTGGTGGGAGTGCAAACTGGTGCAGCCACTATGGAAAACAGTATGGAGATTCCTCAAAAAATCAAGGATAGAACTACCATATGATCCAGCTATTCCACTGCTGGGTATTTATCCAAAGAACTTGAAAACACCAATGCATAAAGATACATGCACCCCTGTGTTCATTGCAGCATTATGCACAATAGCCAAGACTTGGAAGCAACCTAAGTGCCCATCAAGGGACGAATGGATAAAGAAGATGTGGTATATATACACAATGGAATACTACTCAGCCATAAGAAACGATGAAATCCAGCCATTTGTGACAACATGGATGGACATTGAGGGTATTATGCAAAGCGAAATAAGTCAAGAGGGAGAAGGTCAAATACCGTATGATTTCCTTCATTAAGTAGTAGATAATAACAACAATAAACAAACACATAGACACAGAGATTGGATTGGTGGTTACCAGAGGGGAAGGGGGGAGGGGGGAGGGCGAAAGGGATAATTCAGCACATGTGTGTGGTGATGGGTTGTAATTAGTATTTTGGTGGTGAACATGATGTAATCTATGCAGAAATAGAAGTATAATGATGTACACCTGAAATTTATACAATGTTATAAACCAATGTTACTGCAATAAACAAAAAATTAAAAAAAAATGATATATAGAATGGCAGCACTCAATAAATATAAATTTAGTTTGTATAAAAAAAAAGTCATGGCATGCTACACTTAGATGACTGTATTGAAATATAAATTTCTAAAATTTCCTGCATATATTACAACTGAATTTCTTCTATTTTCCTTTTTTGCATTTGATATTTTCAAGACCAGGGTAAAGATAACATTACATTAGACATTATTATCAATCAAATTAACATGGTGATATAGGGTTTTGATAATGGCTTTTGTAAAACTGACTCAAAAATACTTTTATGCATGGACTTAATTATAGCTAATGTATTTACTTTAAATGTGATTGAGCAGTTGAAGATAGCCACTTTATTTTCTGTTGTTTACAATGATTTTTGCTAGGGTTTTTAATCTATTTTTTTCAAAAAGCCAAAAATGAAAACACAAAAGCATGATGACGCAACCATATACCACAAGTTGAATCATATGTAGTATTATCTTACTGCGGTACCTCACTGTTGGGTGTCATGAAATATTTATTTCAGTGGGGTAACTTCTAAAAGGTTTTTGAACTTTATGGTTACTTTTTTATACAAATTGAGAAACCTTAAATTCAAAATATAAGATGCTTTTAAAAGAAAGTGTAGAATATCGAATATAAATATACCACTATATTTTGACTTCATAAATTTTATATCTATGACTATTTGCTTATTAGCTATTAAATTATTTTGTCTTTTAATATCATAAATTAAATAGTATTTACATAACAACAACAACAGCTAATCACTTTGAAAAATGCTCCTCCCTTCATTGATAGTTGGAATATAACAGCACTACTAGTACTTTGATTTGACTAAGGATGAATGAGTCTCTGTAAAGTAATTAAGCCAAAGTAGTACTTGAATTGTTAAGTATAATAATCTTACATTAATCATACAATAACATTTAGCCTTTATGTGGGTATATAACAAAGTCAGTATAAAATTTAATTTGGAATACCTTTTTTAAAAAAAGCAATATTTGAGCCAAAACACTTTTTGCTTGTGGCTCAATCAATTTTTCATGTTGAAATTGTAAATATTTATAAAAATAACTGAAATTTTTCTGGTTGTAAATAAAGTATTGCTTCTACAGGATGGGACATGAGAGTGTTCAACCTTAATTCAAAATTTAGATACACACTTTTAAAGATTGTTTCTGTAGGCACTATACAGACTTTAGGAGCCATCATCAAGTTTAAATTGAATGAATAACTGTAATCAGTTTTAAAAGCACATGGTTATGAACTTGGTACGTTCTCTCATGGCTTGTTATTTCCGCCGTTTTAGGGGAAGATCAATTTCCTAAAGGATGTCAGATCTAATATACGATTATGCCCAAAGAATAAAAAAATAAGAAAACATCTCCCAAATTCTTAAAAAACTTTGTGTGTGTGTTTAATACAAATTCACAGATTTAAAAAGTATGTACAGTTAAAGATATCTACTTTGTAAGTGCTGCATATCTCAAATAGAGAAAATATATAAAGAATGCTATTACTTTTCAATTGTTAATCAGAAATTAAACATATTTCATAAATAGAAAGGACTAGATTTTTATATCTAATACAATATATTTCACGTATGCTTTTATTAGATGAAAGTTAACTACTCCATATAACAAAATAGTCATCTTTTAATTACTCTTAAAACAGAAAAAGTTAACAAACAACTGCGATAAACATTAATAACAGCAGTTTCTGACAATATTAGTCCTTAAGGGGAGAAGTAAAAGAAAGATTTTGTTTCTATACAGTCAAAACAATTAGACTGACTAAACCATAAAAGAATTCATTATGATTCATGTGTTGCATATATTACACTGCTTTTTCTTTTACAGTTAGTTTATTGAATTCAAACCTATAGTTTTTTAAATTAGAAAATCAATTCTTTGCTCTTATTTACTTGTGATCATAATGATCTAAACTGTGTTACAAGTCAAATAGTAAAGGCAGCTGTAACGAATACCTGAGGAAGATTTTGAAAGCATTCCTCCTAAAGAATAACAAAATTATTAGAGATAATTCCTCCTAATAACTGCTTTCTAAAACAGGAGAAAAGAAACATGATATTCATATAATTATAAATTAGTAAACCATTATGAGATCAGATTCCAAACATTCTTCCCTTTGAGAATAACTTTCTGCAATGAAGACAGAATCCATTTTATTTTACTTCGAAATCTCACTGATTATTACTGGCTGGCTGGGGTAAGTGTTGGAAACCACAACAAAGCTCAGAGGTGAAGTGCGCTGTAGTAGATGATCTATGTCTGCAAGGGGGGCAGGAGAGAAAGTGGTAGTACCCACCTCGAGGATTTGCTGACCTTGTGTCTATACACTTTCCCTTAATCTCAGAACTATTTCATAAAATTAGTTACCTGTCATAGTGGGTTCAAATATGTAACATAAGCAATGACAAAAATGCCTCTGTAGTAGATATTTCTCTAAACTTTAATAAAATATGGTATGTTATAAAAGATTATTAAGTATGACATATTTAGAGTTTATCCCTAATATCACATATAGTGGCTAACTGGACATAAGAAAAAAAATCCACAGGTTATATCTGTGTGAGTGTTTCCATGAACATGCTTGGTTATGTCATCATAGTGATTTATTCTTGTAATTTCCTCTATTCTCTGAGAAACGGCAAATTCTTAAGTTATAAGTTTAACGTTAATCATGCCTGCTTTCAAAAACATGCCTCCTTTACTTCAAAACCACTGCTGATTTGTTTCTGAATGAACGTCTTTATTCTCTAAAGATTTATATGTATTATTGTTTAATATTATTCTATTGCATCTCTTTAATAAACTAAATATCTAAGAAATAATATTCATGCATATATATTAAATTTTTTTACTATAGTTCTAGTTGGAAATATTAACAATAATGGAGTGCATTTTATTCTCTAGTTTTTAAGGTAAAGAGACTCATTTTTAGCATCAGGTGATTAATTTGTCACAATATGACCAACAATTGATCACAAGTATTTAACTTGACAAGTACCATAAAAGTATAATGTTTTTAAATGGGGATATTATTATATATAATAATTTAAAGTATTCTCTTTTAAATGAAATATTATTTCCATCATTAAGTGTTAAACTTAATCAAAAGTCAAAGCTCAGGAATGAATTTAAGATATAAAGGAATTTTCATTTCCATTTCCATGTCCCTAAAACCTAAAATGGTAAGTAAATTTTCTCTATTGCTGTTGATAAAAATAGCTTAAAATATTAAAACAAGGCAATCCAATGATAGTATCAACTTTTTTCTCATCTGATAGTTGGTCTCTGATTAACATTAAATTTAAAAACATGAATAACAAGGTAAAGACTGATAAGGTAGCATAAAAATGATAACATTTTGGGCATTTTATCTTCATAATAATTATGAAACAATTATGTTTTCTTAATAATTGAGAAGCAACAGTTAACTTTTATGAGAAAACTTACCATAGCTTCTAAAACCTGGAATTCAGCATATAAAGCAGAAACACTAGACATGCAAAACACCTCACATGCTATAGGTAACCCAAAATCTGCAAATGATGATACATATTGTAATACAGAAAGCAGGCCTTCCTAACACAACATGGTTCACAGCTTAAGGTATATGATTGTAAGAATTATTATTGGAGAGTTATCCAGAGTCTGAACACTAATACAATAAAGTTGATTGAATCATTGAAAAAAATTAGAAACAAAACATGTACAGTATCTTTTAAGTCTTTTTCTTCAATAGACATACCAAATATACACACAATCCTATTTCTTTGGGCCCAGAATACAAGTAGGATTTAACTCTGTGCTAGCTGCTTTCTCTGACACAAGCATTTATCTATCGTGAAACAAAAATTAAATTGCTATCAAAGCAGGATTTCAATTTCAGTCAGAAATTAAGCAAATCATGCCACAGGGAATGTTATCTGCACAACTGTTCCCTCAGATATTTTCTCAGTGCAGCATTGTGAAGGGTGGCGATGATAATACTATTATCTTTAAACAAATTATTATTACTAAAGATAATAGGAACAGGGCATACTGATTTTGACAGTTTTCTTTCCATAACTCAAAACAAAAGGCATTTATTGAAATTAGGTATTTTTATGATTAAACTGTAATTAATGCACTAAGAAACAGGCAGCTGGTGATCTAAGGCATAAATTGCTCTTTCCTTACTGTATTTTTCAGACCACTTGCGAGTTAGATCTAGATAAAGACTTGGTTTATGAGGCCGGTAATCCAGGTACACTGTATTACTGGTTCTTTTGGGAACAGCTTTCTCAATCTGAGTTCCTTCATGCCACTCATTAAAAGAGGTGATAGAGATTACACTGGGTTGGGTTTGGAGAGCAGCATTCATGGCGGTTTCATAGTACTTCCCATTGATTCGGTTCCGAGTGTTCTGGGTGTTCCATGGACGGATGCTGGTATCTATGTATCCTGGGCCCACACTTGGGATAAACATTAGGTTGAACTGATCACAAAAGAATTTTAGCGCTGCCCAATTCTCATATGATGAGCCATAAGTAAAGCCATTTGTGGCAAAATATGTATAAATTCCATCAAAACCACCCCGAAGAATATCATATCTATGTTTGTTGTCCACAAGAAGTGCAATAAACAATCCATCGTAAGGAGAATTGCGAATGCTCTGAGACCCTGAGACGGTTAACAGGTTGGCCCATTTTTCAGGCTTTGTGATATAGGAATCATAGACATAAAACATAGGAAGTGCATTGCCAGCCTTAGTCTTGTACCTGTAAAAGGCTGGATGGTTTCCATATCTAGAATACAAACATATGTAAAGGTTAAATGAATAATCACAACTCATTTGCCATAGACAATAATTGTTTATGTATTGAAAATGAAGGTAATCAGTACGGTTTAAGCACACTGTTCACCTTCCTTGGGGCATCAGTTATAAAAGTATAATCACTAAAAATGCATTTTTAATTTTACACATTGGGAAATGAAATATTGGATACATTAAGACATAACCAAACAGGAAATTAATTATCTTATATTGAGGTTTACAAATGATACCAAACAGCATAAAAAGTCCATTTTCTACACAAATATATAAACTTCTTTTTTTTGTATCAATGATAAATGTCCCACTGTTGCTGACAAGTTTCTCTGTAAGAGTATGGCATCTGTCACAGACTATTATCAGTAAAATTCTTGAACAAAAGGAAGTGTATTAATTAATTCTTTCCTTATAATCAGACTAAACATAAATGAAAATATTAGATGTGGGTCCATTGCTATAAAAGCAGTTCACATTTCATAATCTGAACATTCTTTTAATAACACAAAACCATATTCATAAGATTTACAGAATAATATCAATTTAAAATGTCAATATGATGGAAATCGTAAATAGCCTAATACACATGTAAAACAGCAAAAAGAGCAATTTTTATTCATACACAAAGTGAGTTGTAAGGAATTTCAGAAGTGTTCCTCAAAATGATTGCAATATTCATTATAAAATTAGTTTAAATGTCAGACCATAAGTCATTCAAATCTCTCAAATATAATTTAAATGTACTTCTTTTATAACAGTAATCATCATTGGATCATAAAACAATAATTATAAACACTGAGGAAACTCACTTGTCTATAATATATTTGACATTTCTGTACATGTTTTGTTCATCTCGATTGCTATATGGTTCGATGTGAAAAGTGACCTAGAACAAAAAAATTGATTAGATAAAAAATTATCTAAGATATAAAAATCAAAATGAAAGTATATCCTGTATTTTTAATAAAGTGACTGTTTTAATAACCTTAATTTACAATGAATATTCATTGAACATAAAAGTTACTAGAGAATTCTAATAGTAGTAACATTTACTAAGAGCTTTCTCTGTTAAATAATATGCCAAAGATTTTATGCGTTTTACCTCAGTTATTTCTCACAACTCTATAAGGTAGTTACTATTACTATCTTCATTTTCTAAATGAGGCAATCAAAGGTAAGCTAGGTTCAGTCACCCAGCAAGTTGGAGACAATATGGGCAATCTGAGTTCAGAGCTCAAATGTTCGACCGCTGTGCAATAATTGTTCCTATGTGTTTATTCCTTATAACGAATAAATAGGGATATAGTCTATATTCAGACATATCTTTCTTAAACAAAACAAAACATAGTCCAGAAAAATCTGGATTCTTTTTTCAGGTGTGGCCATCAAGTTTACATTTAAATGGAGTCAATAGCAAATGTCTTTAAATGACAAATTCTTCTATATCATTAAAATAGCTTTTTACAAAATAATCTGCATTTAATTTGTACTATTATTCAAAAAGAATTTATAACAAAAGTACTGAAAAAATAATATCCATTAGAACTATAAAGGACAATAATTTTCAGAATGCTTGTTATTGATATGCTTTATATATTTCTACCACGACAGTAGAAAGCAGTAACCAAAAATATTTTTAAAATACAGTGCACAAAAGATCAAATTTTTTTTAACTAAAAAAAGTTAGTTATATATAAATCAAGAAAAACTAATTATGGCTAGTAAAACAATTTGTACGCCACTTCTAACTGGTAGTACAGATGATACTTCCCTTAAATGACAATCTATTTAAGATCTATAAAACAAATAATATGAGAATTTTCCCTTTTATTACTAACTTTACTGACTTACCAGTAGCCATTAAAAATCTTTACGGCAACCTAATAAACTTATTGATGTTGTTTTAATTGTAGGGTTTGGTCTCTAGGAAGCATGTGTGGAATCAGAGATTTCTATGCTACCGAAATATAATACGCCTTTGTTTTCAATTACCCAATTAAAGTGAAATGTACTTTACGTTAATCAGTGCTACTGGTTTCCACAGAGTTAACTTTAAAGTCAAACAGCATTTAGTGAAAATACCATTCTCTACTTTCAATAAAATGAGATTTCAGTAATATTATACAAAGGAAGTTTTTATCAGTAACACAGTAAGGTTGAATTCATTTGTGCAGTATATTCTAAGTATTGCTAGGGTAGTTAGATTTTTCAGTAGCTCTAGTGTTTGCTTTTCAAGTGCAATTCAAAGAAGATTGGCAAGGGTATAGGTATTTACATACTCTCATATAATATTACCTTGCATCTCCCTTTAGATGCAATATTGTACTTTCTAAGTAAGTTTTCATTTTATATATAAAGGACACCATATTTAAGCCAATATCTGATGTCAAAATGAATTTGCTTTTAAAGCTCCAAATTATAAATGGCATCCTTCTTTTGTAAAGTGCAGATCAATATATTTATAGTAATTCAGAAAGCCATCATTGATAAATATTCAATATTTTAAATTTTCCCTCATATATTTCTAACTTCTTAATTGCAACGAAATTACTTTGTAGGTTTAATTAATGAAGTGATCTAGTCACTATTTCTCTCTTCCATTTGGAAAAATCTATTAGACCAATACTAAAATAACTCTAAAAATGATAGAATACTCTATATAAAATCAAATGTTTGCATTATCTTTGGATTAAGGAATAAGAGTCAATAAATGTTCCCTCATTTCATGCTTCTAGTTTTGACCTTGCCAGTCTTTTCTCTACCCTGCAGCCCAAGTGAACTTTCTACAGTGAAAATCTGATGTTCCTAGAGAGTGATATCAACAACACGTTCGTCATTTATCCCACTTTTTAATCAATAAATTAGACATACATGAACAAAAGCACCTTTGTGGGTGCTCTGGGACTCAGCACCCTACTCCTAGGAACCCGGGAGGAGTCTTGCCTACGAGTGCAGCTGGTAAGATACAGACAAACCTCTGTATGGGCTGGGGAACCAGAGAGTCAGCCCAACTGCCTAGAGCCCTCTTGCCACTGCCAGGCAAAAATTGGGTAAGTACAGACGTGGATAGGCACTCATGCTTGAGAGAGAACTTGCAGAAGTCTAGCCTTCCCGAAGGGAGATTCCAGCACACCACTGGAGAAAAAAAGAAAAATACGGGTTTGGTCGCAGCAGAGGCAGGAAGAGACACTTGCCCAGCACCACTCCTCCGCCCAAGGAAACTCTGAAGGGGGCTGATTTATCTGGTGGAAATGATCTCTCCCACAGGGGAAAACAAAAGCAGTGAGTGAGTGCAGGGCTATTCCATCTGGATGGACTGGCTAACAAAATCCATTCTCTCTACCAGCACCTGGAGGACTAAGGGAGAGCTCTAAAAGTGGGGGGAGAGAGGAGACTGGGAAAGAGAAGAATTTCAAATGGTGGCTGTTAAAGGATTAGTGCTCAGCAGAAAGTCCACCCAGGATCCAGTGGGAGTGCCACTCCCAAGGATCACCCTACTGGGTCTGCAGGCATCGCCAATGCACCAAGTGCTAAACCTACACCTCCCCCCACTCTATGTCAGCTCTTTGTGTGGACTCCCGGTGTTGCTGGAGTGTCTGTCCAGTAGACACAGAGCATGCTCAAAACCACAAACTTGAGCTATAGCACCACCTTCTGGAACACAAAAGAGAGATCAGCCCAGTGAACTGTAAGAACCAGAGAAGACATAAAAGCCTAAAAATTGGCCCAAAAGAAGAGCAAGAAGAGTGGAGTGGGTGAACCTTCACAAACACAGAGGAAAAACTTAGATAATAACCACACTATAGAACACAATACTCCATCTGCTGAAGGCAAAGAGTTAATGAGGCATCTACTACTTCAAATGCAAAAACACCAACACAAATCAACACAGAATATAAAAAAATCAAGTAGGGGCTGGCCCAGCGGCATAATGGTTAAGTTCAGCAGGCTCCGCTTTGACGGCCCAGGTTTGTGGGTTTGGATCTCGGGTGCAGACCCACACATCACTCATAAACCCATGCTGTGGCAACGTCCCACATACAGAGGAAGATTGGCACAGATGTTAGCTCAGGGCCAATCTTCCTCAAGCAAAAAAAAGAAGATTGGCAACAGATATTAGCTCAGGGCCAATCTTCCTCACCAAAAAAAATAAAATAAAAATAAAGGAAATATGGCATCACAAAAAGAAAATGATATCCTCTAGCAACCAAGCTCAAAGGTATAGAATATTGCAATCTAACTGATAAAGAATTCAACATAGCTGTTATGAAGAAACTCAGCAAGTTATAAGAAAACTTAGGAAGACAATTCAATGAAATCAGCAATAAAATATACAAACAAAATGAGTTCTTTACCAAGGAGAATGAAATTATTAAAAAGAACCAAACAAATTCTGGAGCTGAAAATTCAATGAATGAGATTAAGAATGCAATAGAGAGTACATGTAGCAGGGCAGACCACATGGAAGAAAGAACAGTTGACTTGGAGGATAGGAATTTTGAAATAACAGAGAGAAGAAGGAACTCAAATTTTAAAAGAGCAAAGAATGCTTATGTGAGCTTTGGTTATTCACTAAAAAACCAAACATCAGAATAATCAGGATTCCAGAAGGAGAAGAGAAGGAGAAGGGGGCAGAGAGTTTATTTAAAGAAATAATAGCTGAGAACTTCCCAAACCTGAGCAAACACTTAGACATACAAGTCTACAAAGCTTACAGATCACTCCATTATTTCAATGCAAAAAGACTTTCTCCAAGACATATTATAATTAAACTGTCACAAATCAATGATAAAGAAAGAATCTTATTTATAAGATGTTTTATGTAAGCCCCATGGTAACCACAAAGCAAAAACCTAGAGCATATCCACAAGAGACACAGAAGGGGGACATAGAGCATACTACCATGGAAAATAACCAATTTACAAAGGTAGGTAGAAACAAAGGGAGAAAGAAATAATGGAACTACAAAATCAGAAAGCAACTAATAAGATGGCATTAAAAAGTCCTTATGTATCTTAATCCCTTACATTTAGACTAATAACTGATAGATAGTGACATTAGTATGTCATTATCTATCAGTAATTATTCTAAATGTAAGCGAATCAATTTTCCCAATCAAAAGGCACACAGTGGCTGGATGGATGGATAAGAAACAAGGCCCAACTCAAGGCTGCCAACCAGAGCTCCACTTCAGCTTTAAGGACAAACATACACTAAAAGAAAAAGGATGAAAAGGCATTCTAGGCAACTGGAAACTACAGTAGAACATCAAATTTCAGTATGTAAATTCAAAGAGGGCTGAAAAGTTAAACGTCCAAGTGAAAATTGTTAATTTTTTATGGAAATATTTTCATGTGCTGTGGCAATGATGCTGTATTTTAAAAGTATTTTTGTGTTTCCCTTGGTTATTTTCCCCCATTAAAATATCAACAGATCTTTATAATTTATTGTTCTTATGCTGATTACTATTAACTTTTTTCTTTACAAAACTGTCTCAGTGAGTGTTAAATATGTTTGATTCTTTGTAGTTTTACTTTATAATTTTGTTAACATAAATATATCTCTGTTCTATTAGGGAGATAAAAAGGGTTCTGGTTCAAGATGGTTATATAGGAAGACCCTGGATTTACTTCCTCCCACAGACACAACACATCTATAGTTATATATGGAAGAATTTCCTCTGAAAAAAACCTAAAAAATGGCAGAGCAACCTCTTCATATCTGGCAGATGAGAAGGAAACGACATCAAGGGTAGGAAAGGCTGAGCCACAATCTTGCCATAAACCCCACTGGCATGGCAACCCACAATTGGGAGGGAACTCAAAACCCAGAGCTTCTCCCTGAGGAGTGAAGGATTCGTACGTCATCAAGCATCCCAACTTTTAG